CACCACCTGAAGTTCGTCGTCAAGCACTTCGACGTACATTTGAAAAACGTCGTAGTTGTATTAATCAATCCAATGCACGACGTGAACAACAATTACTTAATAATCAAATTGGTTTAGATGATGAAAATTTACGACATCCTCTAACAAGTTTTTCAAGTTTATTAAATAATTTTAATTCTAAAAGTGAAAATTCAAGTTTTGAACGAAGTCTTGAAACGGATTTTGATATGCAATCAGATACAAGTAGTCGTGGACCAAATGATCAATTTACATCAATTGAATCATCGGGTAATGAAAATGCAGTACCTGATGTAACGAATCGTTATATTAATAATAATCGACGACAACCATCACCACACATATCTCCACATCAAGATGATAGTGGTTATAAATCATTAGAAAGTCAAAATAGTCAAAATCGAACATTTAGTTTAGATTGGATGTCAGCAGATGGTGCTGAAAGTGTTATTTATATGGGTGAATCACGTAAACAACAAAGAAGTGTTGATGTTAAAGATTTAGAAGATGATCTTGCTCAACAAGAACAAGATCAACAAAAACTATTAAATTATAATCGGTAAATATATGAAAACCTTTATCAAAGAAATATTTTTCCCTATTTATTTTTTAAGACGTAGTCCAAAACTTCTTCATACTGGTCTTCATCATTCCTATCAAGAAACATCAACTAATCTTATTCCACCCAGTTTATCAAATTCAAATATGATGCAACAACGTAGTTTATCAACAAATATTCCACTTGTTGATCATTATAAACCAAGTCCAATAAATCTTTCTGTATTATCAAATACTAATCAAACTAATAATAACACTAATAAACTTTCAACATCTTCATCATTTACTCGAACTGCAAGTAAAAAACGACGAGAATTTGGTAAAGATAAACGACATGCTGCATCCAATGTTGGTCTTCCATATTTAATTGCTGATGAACAACAAGCAACAATTCATCAAGTAGAATCAGAGACATTTTTTTCTTTATTTTGATTTTTTTTAATTAGATTGATGAGACAAATACAAAACCATTAATATCATCATTACATGTTCGATATGCTGATCTTCGACGAACTAAATCAGATGGATCAAGAAATTCATCACGAAATCATCAAGGTTAATTAACAAAAAAAAATTTTATTTTTTCATATAATTAATTTCTTTTAAAATAGATTCATTTATAAAAGAATCTCCACCATGTCCCAATAAAAATAAATATGATACTCGTTTATCATCAAGTACTGATGGAATACCTGTTTCTCTATCACCACTAAGTCCCATGCGACAACATCTTTCTCCAGATCGAACAGATAGTGAAAATTCTCATCATACTCTTCAACCTTCTTCATTTTCGGCAACACCACCTTTTATACTTAGTCCACAAGTAGAAACGTTTCATTCTCAACGTGGTTCAATATCATCTGATAATCAACAATCATTAACTTCATCTTCACCAACAGCGAAAACAAAAACAGCAGCAATACATTCTATAATACCAACATATATATCAAAACCTCGTTTAAAATTTAGTATGGTACGTGATACAGCTATGACTGGTTTAGGTCATAGTTTACCTGTTTATTCAATGCCGATAACAAGAGATTATAGTATTGATGAAAAAAACAAATCGTATTGTTAATGAATTTCTTATGCATGATCCAACATTAGAAGGAAGGAAAACTATTAATGATGATATTTCATATCGTGGTACACCAAAACGTCATCATCATCGAATACGACTAAAAACATTTGATGAAAGTACAATGATGATGTCAACTGTAAATAATACACAAAAACAATCTCAACAACAGCAACAACCTCGTTCACCAGTAAATAAACAACGTCATCATGGTCCATTACAAACAAATAATGTACGTAAACATCCACAATATCATTATCCACCTGTACGTCTTCCGGATAATCTTGAACAAGAAGAAGGAGATAGTAGCGATCCAGCATCACCAACAGTAATATTAACTCAACAACAATCAATAAATACTACTCGACGAGATAATAGTATGACAGTTGGATCTCCATCAATCATTATTACTGGTGATGATAGTGGCAGTTAATTATGATTAAAAGACCGATAGATAAATCTCTCTTTTTTTTCTGTTCTTTTGGTTTCATGTATATATACCATGAGGAGTTTATTTCTGTATGATATATCTATTTTAAGTTTCGTTGTTTTTCTCTTTTTGTTGCTTGATACTATTATCGTTTTTTTTTTTGTTTTTTGGTCAATACAGTTATTAAAACTACGTATATATGTCATGTATCTTATAGAAACAAATGTTTTAACTGTAATAATGATAATAAATATAATTATGGTTATTTTCAATCATTTCTAAGATAATTGATTTTTTTTTATGATAGATTCGAATCATTCCAGATTGGCTTTTTTTGTTATAAAATTACAATATATTATATTTATTATTTATGAGATATATTGTCTTTGTCCGAATGACATTTATATCAAAATAATAATAAATTAAACTTTGACATTGAGAAGTATAGTGATTCGTTCATTGAATATTCGATAATTGCGATCTTCACTATATGATTTTAATCATCTTTGAAAATACCTCGATTGCATGTTCGTATAATTAAATGAAGTAGATCATATATTGGACTTATTGTTCGATTGAATTTTTCTTTTTTAACTGATTATGAGTTTGTTGATTATCTAATGATAGGAAAAATAATAAATGATCATAATCTTTATCTCTTTCATGAATTTTTAATACGCATGAGAATTCACATAACATTTAGGTTCAATGGACTAGGTTTTAATCAGAGATTGGATCAGTATTAGTACGCTGAGTACAAATACAAATCCGTTTGACTTAAATAATCTGTACTCTATTACCCGTACTTCGTATGTTGTACTCAAGTACTCCTTTATATCTAGTTTTGATTGACATTTTCTTTATTAATATCGAATGCAACAAAACAAAATAAGAGAAACTACCTTTTGTCATATTTTATACTTATCAATCTTAAATTAATATTGCTTATGTTTTTATAATACCAAGATCCTTAAATAAAACGTCTCAAGTATTGTACTAAGTATCCAATCACTAATTTTAACCTAGGCAAAAAACCTATTACGATAATACTTATGCTGTATACAAAAATTCGATACATCACTAGGAATCAAATATTTATTAGTAAACAATGATTCAATAAGATTTAGAAATATAAATCAATTCGTCGCTGATGATAAAATTACGTAGGTGTAAACGAACCCGAGTCGGGAAAGCTTTTTTCCGATAATGTATAATAAAAAATTTCTTTTGAAAATTAATTATGTTTGAATAAAAGCACCTTAATATCTAAATAAGATTTTATTTTTGACTTTGAATTTAAATAGAGAAAGTTGAGATCTATAGTTCAAGATTACAATGTATAAATAGTTCTGTAATTAAATTTTAATGATAAACAAATAGAATCATGTATTTATATGTAGAAATAATATGAAATTTTGTAAATTTTTATTATGTTCTCGTACTTTTTAACATAACAGTATGATATTCCGGTAGAAATGTAAGAAAGTATATTATACCATGAATTATAGATTTGAACTCTGTTTACCTAAGTTACAAGTCATGAATTCATTTGTATGTTTCCCAAAAGTAATTAATTTTTAGAAGATTTCATCTTACATATTACCGGAAAAAATAGACATTCCAACTTAGCTTCTATCTTTTATTGTAAACCATAGATTACTAGCTATTATCATTCTCAAATTATTCATTTTACAACATTTTCTACTCATTTCCTGGTACAGACTATAATTAGATTTATTATTTTACAATGAATTATTAATAAAAATTTCGACTGATTAACTCCTAATAGAAATGTTTTGTGTAAAAGTATAATTAATATAAAATAATAATATTCTATTTCAGTTAAATCACGTCTATCCATGAAAAGTGAAGGACACTACGAGAATATCCTAAAGGATAGGTCTTTTAAATTAGAAACTTGAAGGTGTGGGTGGTGTTCTCTTTCCTTCACCTAAACCCTACCCCATACGCACACCCTCAAGATGGTATGAAAATCCTGTATGTTCTACTTCGCTACTTGAAATGACTTTAAAAGTTTTCTTACACTAACAGTACAATAGTTTTTCATTGTTAATGTAAAAATATATTCATTTCTCTACTAATATAATTAGACGAAGAAAAAAGACACGATAGTACTTATATATTTTAATGAATTTTTTTTCAATAATGAGTTTCATTAGCAAATGTCCTTAAAATATAATTAAGAAAAGGTAAAAGTTTTATGTTCATTCAAAGAGAAAAAACAAAGTACTGAAAGTACACAACTATAAATCATTTCTAACACGTTTAATTCAAACGAATATGATAAACATGCAATAGCTAAGTGAATATCCTGCAGAAATAAACATATCATTTCACTCAATGAGCACAAATTGAATACAAACGACCTGTCAAAATCTCCATCACGAGTTCTAAGCAGAGTTTATAGAAGATTTAGAGATTCTCGAGGTAATGTCTAAGGATTGTGATAGAGTGAAGTCAATTAAAGTGGCACATTATCATGTTAATAGAAATAATCTCAACAGATCGATATGCATATTAACATTTTTTAAAGATAAAAAGAAAAAAATTTATTTCATAAAATAAGATTTGTTGTAGAATGAATATCGTTCCAGAGACCGACATCAGGACAGGGCTTCCCTATTGCTCTGTAGGGTGATCAGACCAGGGCAGAGTAAAAAAGTGCCCTGTCATGGTCTCTATTACAGACATAGTATAAATCCACAGAATAGTCGATAAGAGAATATATCAGTGGATAGATGACCCGACTTATTAGTCTTTTTTATCCGATTCGTATACGATTTATAAAGTTTTCTAAATTAAAAGTGCTTTTTATAATCAATTTAGATTTACGACAATTATAATATAACGATACAACATTTACGCTGTTTTTGATTTGTCATATTTTATTCATGATTATAAAGCAGTATTTGCTGTAATAGGTTTTTGACAAGCTGGCGATTGTTGTTTTTTCACTATACGTGGAGCAACAGCAGATGATTTTATTTTCCAACATAATAATATCTTTTTGATTTTTGTTTTAAGTTGAGGTATTGTACCAACACATCCAAAAGGAAAGAGAAAATTAACATAAAAGGAAAAAAAAGCTTCCGTATACATAATATTGAGAACCAAAGCTCGGTATACCAATAATATAACGCCAAACACCTAATATGACCAAAGGAAAATAAAAGATATAAAATATTGATGCAACAAATAAAAGTTGAATTGTTAGTTTTCTATGCTTACGCCAATCTACCTGTCGACGTACACGATATCTGCGATAGACAACCCGAACAATCAGAGTAATACTGAAGAAAGCAATACAGACAGACGAGAGTACTCCATTTGTGAACAGCTCGTAAATAGTATATGCAGTTTGATATGCACAACTCGCATATCCACAGTAACTTTGTGTATAAACAAATCTATTTTGACAAGATAGAAATAAGTTTATTATCATATAGAGAAGAATATGATAACTAGTGATTATACCTATAGGTATATAATGAAATAAAATACGATTTTTTAATCGTAAAAGTCGTCGTTCATTAAAAATCAGAATATGCCGTTCAAATGAAGCCCATGCAACTAATTTAGGTAATACTGTATATGATGCTGCATCAATATATCTCCAAAGTTGACAAATCAATGGCACTTGTATCCAAACAATTCCATGATATAGATAATACAAATACAGTGGAACATCTAATACGAGCACAAAAAGATTAATAATAAGACCAACTATGAAAGCATGGTTATTAAGTCCCCATCGAAGATTCTTATTAAAAAGTAAATGATAGAGAACAAAAATAGAACAAATAAATGATGCACAATTTGATAGGAGATACATCCAGAATCTTCCAATTAAAGGAATTTCATTTACACTTGTTCCAGCGTATGATAGTACAGTTCCGGTTGTATGTACAGTCGAATTATTGCTTGCATTTGACATTGTTAAGATTCAGTAAACTGAAGAAATGTATGGCTATCTAAAAATACTCTCGATTGTCATGATTCACATTTCAATTCTATGACTATTCTAAAAAATAACTCGATCCATCATTAACTTTTTATAGCAAAAGTAATGATCGATATATTACAGTATCGGTCATAACCTACGAATTAGATATAATGCTATGAGAAGTTTAGTTTTTGTAAAATATAACTTCTTTTTCGATAAGAAGTATCGTTTATATTCAATTATAACACAATTATATTACGAAAAACTAAAGCTATACTTTTGTGACATAACTTAATATCTTGTTTCGATTTATTGTTAAAAAAAATATAACCTACATATTCTTACTTAACTGGTGAAGCTCTATCTGACATTGTAGAAATAAAATAAACAGAAGAATATTTGCTTTAGTTGGTTGTCTCATTATCTTATATATATTTTTTATCTTTCAGTTTAATGAAATGAAAAGCATTATCAGATATTTTAAAATAATTTTGAATACACTGCGATGATTCTATTCTAATTAATATAATCATTTCAGCGAAAGAAATTAATAGGACACTCAACAATGAAGAATCTATTTGGGGAATGTAAGTCAGATGAAAACAAATTGATCTATATATTTAAGATAAAAATTAATTTATTAATCTCAACTGTTGCTCTTCCGCAAACCATATAACCCAGACAGACAAAACCTGTCAAAAAACGCGTATTAACTCCTTAAAATATGCGCTTTTCTCGATTTTATTTTGATTAAAATCTCACCGTTTTTGCACGTTTTTTGGTGCTTGTCTGTTTGGGAAGTCAAAAATAATTCATTAATATGTCAATTGCAGAGTTTTTCTTTGTTGATGTGTTTTGTATTGTTTATTAAAACAATTAAATAATCATTAGAAGTCTGCATATCTATCTATAAATGTTCTTGACATCAGAAGGAAAAATACTAAAAATAAATTTAAAAAAAAATCAAAGGATTCAATAAGTGAACATATAGAAACAAACTCTATAGGTAAAAAACAAAAGAATATATGTAAAATACGAACTTGGAACTATAAATATTTACTAAAATATATATTAATTAATACAACCTAGGTTAACGATACTAATTTATATTCATATTAATAGTGAAAAGCCACTCTTAATAATATATCTGTGTCTAATTTATTATATTTCATCGCATGCTTCAACTTCTTTATCACGTGAACATAAATGAAGTAAAATTTAACTACTTGATTAAATTTAACGAAACGATATATTAAAATAGCACCTATTTAAGTGTTAAGTGAATTTAAATGAAAACTAAGTCAAAAATTCTATTTTTGCTAAGTAATTTAGCGAACACAGATCTAAGTACAAAAACAATTTCTGCTAAGTAAATAAATAGTTTTTGAGAAGTAAAAAATTTGATCGGATAATTAGTCGATTAACAATCTTGGGTGTAGGCAAGGGCGGCGGAGGCTATGAGACTCAGAGACTTGAGCCTCACCTACGTTTTGCCAATTGAGGATCAGTCTCACCTAATTTGAACTTAACACTCCACGATAATCTATATTTTTCACGTCACTTATTGACATGATTGCAGTCGGATATCAGCTTCGCTTCGATTTCACAAGAGAGAATAATAGCTCGAGATAAGAATGTGTATGTAGATTCTGAATATTTAAGAGTGTTAAATAATGGTATTTATCTTTCGTTTCACTGCTTTTGCCATTTTCGTTCTTTTCTATGGCACAGACTCGTTTGAATCGCGCATTTCTGACTTACGTTCACAAGGAAAAGATGGATTCTATCGGCTTGAACAATTATTTTGTCTATGTTTGCATCAAGAAACGAACAAAGAAAACGGTTTTTTAGTTCTTTTTAATTATAACCATCTTTTACTCTTTGATTTGTTAAACTTAATAAAAGAGCTTTTTTTGATACTGCAGCTCTAATATAAGTTTGACCGTCGCAGTTCAACGAATGAGAAGAAGAAAATAGTATGAGCCACACCTAGATTAAAGACGCTCTGTCGCCTGTGATACCATCCTATCAATAATGTTAATTATGTCCAATCTAGTTTTAATAGTAAGTGAATGAAAAATCATTGGAACAGACTGATAATTAGAAAGCTTTGAATTCAGATCCAAGCGCGAATAAGTCCGTATCTATTTTTTTTTCACTAATATATGGTACTGTTTATGTGAATGACTAATTAATAGATCCAGAATTTAGTTACTCTTTATTATCTTCTCGTACATAGTTCTAGTGAAACTGCAAGATAAATATCAATCGAGACTAATGTTAAATCTAGATATGAACTTCGATAAAGTTTAAAGATGACTGATTATTAGTACAATTATTTGTCAATAAAAAACAAAAATTAATTAATAAAAACTTGATGAATAGATAATTAAAATGAAGATAAATGAATTTAATCAAACATTTTAATAAATAATGAAAAGATAAAATCTAACTAAGTAAGGGTGTGGGCGTGAATGAGTGACTATCAGAGAACGATAAAATACCCACTCGCAGCCTCACATCGTCCACAGGTGCCATCTTCACAAAGGTATAGTTACCTATGAATGGTATTTCCACCTTTACTTCGCTATATTTCTCTTTCTTCTTCTCTCTCTGTCTTTCCCATTTTTATATAAAGCGTATTCATATATCACGATTGATACTGCCGATATAGTGTTTATTCAAGATGTTTTTCTTTTTCTCTCGCAAAGCTGTGAATCTAGAGAGCGTGTGTATGTTGTACACTTTACAAAAACGACCTCATTCAGATCAACAGCAACTCACATCCACATCTACACCCTATTTCTTGTTCTTATTTTCATTTATGATAGATTTAATGATCGAAATACTAATTGTTTAATAATCACATCGCAGTTAAACAATTTTGGTGATTAAAAAATTTCTTATCCATACATGAATGTCTTATTCTCTTCACAGACGATTGAAAATAATATGGAACAATATAAAACATTATTTTCAGTAATACGTTTATACTAATATTTACGACTCTATAGATAGCGTATAAAAAAGATCTTGAAAAAACTTTTAGATGCAGCACATTAAATCAGAATGATAGTTGTGAATCACAAGCAATTTAGTTTTTAATGCAATGCGAAGCAGAAGCATTTATGTAGTCCTTCGCGTACGCATTCAAAGTGGTCATTTTGTGGACGATGATCTCAAGAACGGAACGTCACAAAATACTCTTTCAAACCTGAGATCAATATATCGAGATCATACTAATACTATTCGTTTGTCGATTTTGAACAGCATGCTTAGTTCGTTTACAGGAAGCGTCGCAAAACACCATTTTGACTATGGACTTTGTTTTTTTCATATTTGGAGATTTGTGATAGAATATTCATACTTATATATCATATTACGGCTACCACTGTTAACTAAGTCTTACTGTAAAATTCATCTAACTCTACTTTAATTTAAGTTTTCATTCTCATACGTTATATCAAACATCACATAAATCAGTAAATATAAAACATTCAAAGAAATTCAAATAGAAGATCATTTCACTTTCTATGGTAGAATTGCTTTAATGAATGTTATTGAATTACAAGGAAATAAAAGTGATTAGTTTAATATTGGTTGTTAGTATCGTTAAATAATGCTTTTATTCGAATTTATTATTACTTCATCACTAACATAGAAAAATGCTAATGAACATTATTTCTACTACAAATTAGTATTTACTATTTCATTACATCATTATTATCATTTTCATTCATCAAGTGATGACTATCAATACTTTGAAAATCTAATTTTGCATTTCTTCCGACTACTTTCGCGTATAGAGTTCATCATAAAAAAACCTTATAGATTTTTAAAGGAATGGAAAAATTAACTACTACGAATGAAATTCGAAAAAAAGCGACTTTACTTTAATATTATAAAAAATTATTTGATGTTTCTATGAAGGTATATATTAATAGATCATAAGTAGAAAGAATCTTTTTATTTAATTTGATTATTATCGTAATAATTTCCAAGATATTCCTTATTACGCAAAAGATGATTGATGATGTAATCTATTGAAATAATTACATTATACAATCAAGTACATATCTAAAAAATAGAATCTTTTTTTCCGTATGAAAACGTGCGAAATTAATTTAATTTTGAAAAACAACTTTTCAATTGCATATTATTTTTAACTTGTAATTGTAAATAAAGTAATCTTGTATATCAAGACAAAATGTTATTTATATGAAATTGTTTGAAGGCATTAACTATGAATGTATGACTAAATTTTTGTTAATAATCAAGAATGAGAAGAAATTTCATCGTGTTTACTTTTTTTAACATAGAATTTAGTTCAATCTTTCAAGAAAAAATATTTATGTTATTCATCTATACATGTAATTTTATATGTAAAAACATAAAATACAAATGATTTTGATCACTCTTAATTTTATTGCTAGAAACAGAGGATAAAGTTTATTAATTATAATAAATATATTAGTAATTAAGTTTGAATTATTGTTTATGTTAAATCAAATAAAAGTTGAAATAATGTATTAGATGAGTTTATCTTAATCATTTAGATCATAAAAGAAAATAGTTAACTCGATGACATTACTAATTGTATAAACTTTAGCAGAATCGGAATAATCATTGAAACTACAATTCAGTCAGTTAATTCAATACTCATCGTCATGACTATGATCTAAACAGTTATGTTTAGTATATTAAATTAATTCAAATCATCTAGAACAAGTTTAATTTTATCTTGATTTCAGTTAATTCTTCAGGGTGTATATCGATGTTGACTTTACGAATATCTACTTGTATCACTATACTAATTAAACTCATATCTAGTTAATAAAGAATGAACATGATTGATTTTGTTTTTTGCCTATCCCTTCACTCTTTATTATTGCATTTGCTTTTCAAAACAAAATATTACAACTGTTCATCGAATGAATGACTTATAATAAAATAAAAATGCATACTATTTATTAATTCAATCAATTTGGATG